GCAGCATGCCTCTGAAATCAGGCGATTCCCGAGCACAGAGTGGAGCATCTGCTATAAGGACTAAGGCACTCATCATGCTATGCCTATTTTGTGGCAACAATGTTACCAATGCACATTAGGAGGACATGACAGGTTCCCTTTAAATAACTTTTAAGACAGATGTTCCAAGGAATGATTAATTTATAAAGCCATAGGAAATAGGAGATATTCATGGAAAGTATACAGCGGAGAGAGGGGGAAATGGCGCGTTCACTTTTACAGCCTCATGCTGGAAACACTTTTCTGAGATCTTAGCACCTTGTCCGTGGTACTTGACAAGTATGAATGTACAATGCAGCGAGTGGCCAAACCAAACATTGTTCCTGATTTCAAACGCTGTTGGGCTGATTGCGGCTGCGGGGACTTATTCCTCAACCACTAACTGTACTTAGATTATTTTTATAGCCAATTTCTAACTTCACATGATGAAAATCTATAAAAGGCCGATGACAGGCAGCTCTGTGTGTATTCCAGACTTGAGATCAAGGTTCACGGGTAAAATGCTTGTCCTGTTTGATCTCACAGTGAATCAGAAAGCCAGTGACAATCCAGCCACCGTTATGAATTAATTTTAAAATTTGGAAGGAAATGGGTTATTTATTAAAGGGGCTTTCACTTTAATATACATCTGTCCATGCTGCGGCATGGGGGGAATCTCCAATCCCGAACTCTCTTTCTATATATTTATTTCAGGTATTTATACAGTGCTGTACATGTTGTACATATCGCTGCGTTCAGGCTAAGTCATTGTGCAAAGCAGAGACGTTTGCTCCACAGACTGAGATTTCTATTCTTCCCCTCTAGTGTTCAGTGCAGAGTAAACACATTATTTCCTGCTGCCAGAGTAAGGGTTCATGTACACTGCACTGCAAACTCACGTTTAGGAGCTTTTCTGTGTTTTTTTCAGCAGCCCCTGAACTCTCCCTAATGTTTTCCTATGTGTCCATGTACACATTGTTGTTTACAGGCAGTTGAGTTTACAGTCGTTTTTTGGAATGCCCCAAACTTGCGCTCAGGAGTATTATTATACAGTATTTATATAGCGCCAGAAGGTTTGCTCAGCGCTGTACATTATAGTGGGGGACAGAACATGAGACAATACAGTAACAATACAATACAATACACGAGGGGTTCGAGGGCCCTGCTCTTTCGAGCTTACAATCTAGGAGGGAGGGGATAGTGGTACAGGAGGAAATGGCTGTGGGGGATGGAGTGGTAGGAGGAGTGGAGAAGATCGGCTGTTAAGTGAGGGTGGGGTAGGCTTCCCTGAAGAGATGGGTTTTCAGGGTGCGCCTAAAGGTGAGGAGGGTAGATGACAGTCTGATGGATTGGGGTAGTGAGTTCCAGAGGATGGGGGAAGTCCTGGAGAAGTCCTGCAGTCGGGCGTGGGAGGAGACCAGGGAGCTAGAAAGTAGGAGGTCTTGTGAGGAGCGAAGAGTATGGGTAGGGTAGTATTTGGGTATCAGGTCGGTGAGGTAGTTTGGGGCAGCATTATGAATGGCTTTGTATGTCAATGTTAGTAGTTTGAATTTAATGCGTTGGGCAATCGGGAGCCAGTGAAGGGAATGACAGAGGGGGGTGGCGGATACGGAGCCGTTGGTAAGGTGGATGAGTCTGGACGCTGAGTTCAGGATAGACTGAAGCGGGGATAGCCTGTGTTGGGGTAGGCCGGTGAGAAGGGAGTTGCAGTAGTCCAGACGTGAGATAATAAGGGAGTGAACGAGTTGTTTAGTAGTGTCTGGGGTTAGGAACAAATGTATTTTGGAGATGTTGCGGAGTGGTGGAGCCTGCATGAGTTTGCCAACGATTGGACATGGGGTTGGAAGGACAGGTTTGAGTCTAGAGTGACACCTAGGACTTTGGCTTGTGGGGTGGGACTGATGGTGGCGTTGTTGGTCATGATGGAGAGGGTGGTGGGGCTTGGGCTGGGGGGAAAATTAGGAGCTCGGTTTTGGAAAGGTTCAATTTGAGGAAATGGAGCGACATCCAGTCTGATATGTCATTCAGTATGGGCGGAGACTGAAGGGGTGAGGTGAGGGGTGGAGAGGTAAATTTGTGTGTCATCGGCGTAGAGGTGATAGTTGAAGCCGTGAGAGTGTATCAGTTTGCCGAAGGAGAAGGAGGTGTAGGAGTAGATTTTATCAGTGTTTCAAACACCAAACGCTTGTAAATGCGGCTAACCACGTTTATAAGCGTTTGCGTTTAGAAGCGTTTCTTAACTGTTCCATATCCAGATGCTGTCCAGAGCCTTTTTTCATCATCAGAAATGCATGCAAAGTGTTTTTTATGTATTCAAATGGACCCGGTACACCAGCGCAGTCAGTTCCACGTTTTGCGTGAAGGAAAAAATGGTAGAACGTGTCGCATTATTCTCATGATGGGATCCCTAGTGAATACAACCAGAAAAGACAGGTCATCTCAACACATACTGCTCTCTCTGCTTCTGCTCTCTCTATTTCGCTCAAAATTTCTGAAATAGTTAATTTTTTACTGTTTTTCAGTGCATTCTGGGCATTTTGGAAGGTCTCCTAAGGTTATCTTTAAAAAATGCTTCTAAGCGGAAACGCTCATAAATGCGCATAAATGCGGAATGCAAACGAGGCTAAACAGATGTTTTTTAGCCTACGTTTCCCAGCAGTCAGTTTCCATCGTTCAGAAGTGTTTTCCAAATGTCCCGTGTACATGGAGCCTTAGAAGTGTGTCTGGAAAGAAGAGGATTGTGGGACTTGTAGTCACACAGCCTAGTTAGACTGTATTCCTTAGCATTACCTGGACTACAATAATACCAGAAGGAAGGAAACTAAAGAGGATTCTGGGAGGAGATACATATTTCTGTGTTGGAGACATGCTAACTCTCTTGGAAACTGACAGAGGAGGGTGTGACTTTTCCCCTAGGAGTTCCAGTCCACGGCTCCACTGTACAATAAGTGAATCCTGCTCATCAGCCTAGTATCACAGCTGCGCGGGGCGACCCTCAGCATTCCAGGGACCGCGGCATTGTTTGACGATCGGACCAGCCACCACTGGGCATCTTGCAAGCATCTTTATCCGCAGTTTGATCGGTGTTCAGGAGGCAATCATAAAGCAAGAGCCTGATCTTGTGCAGCAGATTTCGGTTGTGATATCCCCCAAGGATCTAGTGCGCGGGTCTAAGCCTAGCAGTCCTCCCTGATACTGTATAGAGACTGCATGCAGACAACTTCAACTCTAAAGTTGCTTCTGAGAAGTACTATCTGCTAATTTCTTTCATCCAGTTGTTACTATTGCACAGTGACTGATCTGTGCCCCATCATAAGCAGGATGGAATTAAAGCTGCGTTCCACTCAAAAGTGGAAGCTCCGCTTGTTTGCCTCCTCCCACCCTCCACTGCCATATTTGGCACCTTTTGGGGAGGAGGGGGGGAGCGGATGCCTGTTTTTGACAGGTACCCGCTCCCACTTCCGGCTCAGCTCGTCGTGGGCCAGAAGTTCGGCCCCCTCCTCCCTGGAACTTTCACAGGTCCCAGGAGACTGCCAGACCAATTAGAAGGTGCAGCGTGACTCACGCATGCGCAGTGGGCACACGGCTGTGAAGCCGCAAGCTGTCACAGACTGGTGCCCACAGTTGAGATGCCGGCGCCATGGCGGGGAGAAAGGACTGCGCTGGTGAGAACATCACTGAACCCTGGGACAGGTAAGTGTGTGTTTATTAAAAGTCAGCAGCTACAGTTTTTGTAGCTGCTGACTTTTAATAAACACAAAAAACTTATAGAACTCCACTTTAAGAAATACACTCACCTCTAAGACTCCTCTATTTAAAGGGACTTCATCTACAGAGTGGCCACTGACTGGGTATTAGGGCTCAGAGGGAGCTGACTGCCCAAGGGTCTCCACTTACCCCCCCCCCCCCCTTGCTCCTGGGATCATACACCTACTGGAGGTTTGTCAGTTTCACAATAAGGTTTACTGGTATCGCTGTCTCATTGTACATTGCTAGAATTCTGTTTAAGTCTAAGCTTAGCATTGTGGGGAAATATTCACAGTTTACGATCTGTTTCTCTGCTGACCTCTCTAGTAAAGCAGTATGTGAAAATCAATCTGTTCATTGGAGTTCTTTGCACTGCTGTTTGCAGTGACTGTATCTAACCAGGTGTGCCAGAGGTGTAGATGTTGTCCTAAGGGGTTGAGGCATAGAACAAGGGACCCAAAATATTCAAGTGGCTCCTCGGGGGGATACACTGCATACATTTATATCACTCCCTGCCTTCAAAGAGCTTGCAATCTAAGGTCCTGTCCTTGTGTTACATACATGGGGGTATTTACTAAAAAGAGTGCAAAATCTGGTGCAGCTGTACAGAGATACCAGTCAGCTTCCAGGTTTTATTGTCATAGCCTAAATGAAAAAGCTGAAGTTGGAATCTGATTGGCTACCATGCACAGCTGCATCGGATTCTGAGAGTTTTTAGTATGTTTTAGTAAATCTACCTCATAGCAGGCAAGGACACAGGGACTCCATGATCCCCTATTGCCTGGGTGCCCCATGAGTTGTCAGTCCGCCCCTGCATGTAACCTCCATAAATTTTGAACCGCATACAATTCACTTGATATGTGAAAGAACATTGCTGTCTATTGTGCCTGTTCACAAATGTCTGGTGCAGCCGGAGTGTAGATTCAGTGTGGATTGCAAAAAAGTCCTGTCAGTTTTCTGAGCAGTGCTGTCCGGCTCAGGTGCGAATTCAAGCCCATTGACTTTATAGGAACTTTTCTGAATTGCACATGTCAGTCAGTTGTGAACAGGATAAAATCCTGCCCTGATCCTGATCTGACTGCCGATATAAGGAGCATTTTTCCCACTGACCACCAATATAAGTAACATTCTGACCACCAATGTAAGGGACATTCTTCCCACTGACCACCAATGTAAGGGACATTCTTCCCACTGACCACCAAAGTAATGTGCATTCTTCCTAATGACCACCAATGTAAGGAACATTCTTCCCATTGACCACCAATGTAAGGAGCATTCTTCCTACTGACCACCAATGTAAGGAACATTCTTCCCACTGACCACCAATGCAAGGAGCATTCTTCCCACTGACCACCAATGTAAGGAACATTCTTCCCACTGACCACCAATGTAAGGAACATTCTTCCCATTGACCACCAATGTAAGGAACATTCTTCCCACTGACCACCAATGTAAGGAACTTTCCTCCCACTGACCACCAATGTAAGGATCATTCTTCCCACTGACCACCAATGTAAGGAGCATTCTTCCCACTGACCACCAATGTAAGGAACATTCTTTCCACTTACCACCAATGTAAGGAACATTCCTCCCACTGACCACCAATGTAAGGAACATTCCTCCCACTGACCACTAATGTAAGGAGCATTCTTCCCATTGACCACCAATGTTAGGAACATTCCTTCCACTGACCACCAATGTAAAGAACATTCTTTCCAATGCCCACCAAAGTAATGAGCATTTGTTTCACTGACTACCAATGTGAAAAGCATTCTTCCCACTGACCACCAATGTAAGACCTCATGCACACTGTAAGCTTAAAAAGTTTTGTCCCCTACAGGAGTTTATAGCATCAAAAACGCATTAAAAAGCCGATTTATTGCATGGACGTTGATGCATGTTAATGCATTTGGCATTAATGCATTTCTCTGGCCATCAGAATGCATAAATGCGTGAATGTGTGAACACGCGTTAAAGTGATTCTAAAGGCTCAAGGTTTTTTACCTTCATGCATTTTATACATGAAGGTAAAAAACCTTCTCTGTGCAGCATCCCCCCCAGCCCCCCCCCCCCCCCTCCCCCCCCCCCCCCCCCCCCCCCCCCCCAATACTCAAAGACCCCCCCCAATACTCACCTAAGACCCCTCTCGATCCAGCGATGTGCAGCCGAGTCTCAGCTCCCCTCACTGGCTGAGACAGAAGCAGAAGCAGGAGCCATTGGCTCCACTACTGTCAATAACAGTCAATCAGCCAATGAGAAGAGAGATGGGTCCAAGCCGCGAAAAATGAAAAAAATATCTTAAAAAAAAGAAAAAAAAAATGTAATAAATTAAAAATAAAATTTTTCAAAAAAAATTATAATTTTTTTTTCATACTCTGACCAATCAGTGTCCCTGATCACCGCCATGCCAGTTATATGATGACGCTGTACTGCACTGGTGACAGTATGTAAAAAAAAAAATAGTGAAAATAATTTTTGTTAATTTTTTCATTTTCCGAAAAATTATGACAAAAAAAATTCAACTTCAAAAAACTCGCCATGCCTCTTATGAAGTACGTCGGACTGTCTACTCTGCAAAAAGGGGTCATTTGGGGGATATCTGTACTGTCCTAACATTCTTGGACCTCAAGAAATTAGATTGGCTGTCAGTACTTCAGGATTGATCAATATTCAGATCTATCCCATAGTTTGTGAACTCTATAACTTTCCTACAAACTAAATAATACATCTTAATTTGGGTTATTTTCACCAAAGACATGTAGCAGAATACATCTCGGCCTAAATTTATGAAGAACAATTATTTATTTGCAAACTTTTATAAAAGAAACAAAGAAAAACGTGTTGTTTTTTTTTTCAAAATTTTCGGTCTTTTTTTGTTAATTTAGCAAAAAATAAAAACCCCAGCGGTGATTAAATACCACCAAAAGAAAGCTCTAGTTGTGTGAAGAAAATGATAAAATTTTAGTTTGGGTACAATGTTGTATGACCGCGCAATTGTCATTCAAAGTGTGAGAGCGCTGAAACCTGAAAATTAGCCAGGGCAGGAAGGGGGTAAAACTGCCCGGTATGGAAGAGGTTAAATTCCAAAGTTAAGTGTTTTGTGTTTTATTATTATGTTAATGGTAGGTGTGGGGGGTGTTTTTTAGAAGTGGTGGTTGGTGTCATAGCAGCTGAGCTATAGGCAATACCCCAGTCATGCATAAGTGATGTTTTTTTTCTGCTTGTAAACTCCCCTGCCACTAAACTCCTGAAAATGCCTATAGTGTGCAATGAACACATAGGCTAACATGGAGGGAAAAAAAAGATCAAAAGCTCAGACAAGCAGCTTTTTTTGAGCTGCAGTGTGCATGAGGCCTATGAAACATTCTTCCCAATGACCATCATGCTGGGGGCACCACGACCTGTATATGGGGTTCCCTGAGACCGTAAAGTTACTTCAAGGGTTCTTTCGTGTTAAAAAAGTTGAGAAAGGTTTACCTAGCCAGTTAGGGACAGTGACAAGTACATCATTCCAACTCTGTGTATAAACACTCGGCCGATACAAGCGAGCATGTTTATAACACAATTGTTCTAAAAAAAACAGCCGTTCAAGAGTCAGAACCTTTGACCGCCATTTCAGCTTTTGGCTGAAGTGCTTCTTTAATGATCCTTTTCACACACTGAATAAATTGACATGCTCCATTGTAAAAGAAAGCCCCCGAGCCCTCGTCAGTGCTGGAGGCCGAGGCGTTCCTTCCTGCTCGCTCCTATATTTTTAGCCATCCCCTCTGCCCTTGCCCTCACTACTGTTATTTTTCTCTTCTCCATGAAAGGTGCTGTACAAATGTTTTTATTTATCTGTCAGGCCTGGTTTCAGTTAGAGGCCTGAAAATGAATATTTTCCTGGGATTCAGGCAGGGGAGGTGGATGTTTGCTTTGTTAGTCATGCCGTACAGAGAAAAATAGCCTGTTTAGACGCCTTTCTAGCTGCATGTCATCTGCTGCTTGGCCAAACTATGCAGAGGAGACACTGTCCAAGCACAATGACATCTTAATGAGTCAGTTTAAGAAAAGACAGGCCCTTTCAAAGTCGGGGGCCCTCGGAGATGATCAGAAACCTTTTACTGCCATGTAACTCTAGGTAGTCACATAAAATACAGTATTTACAATGAAATGCTATCTTGCAAAGTGTTTTTAAAATATAACCAGAGGCAGAGTTGTTGTGTTTTTTTTTTTTTAGATTTGGAGAGAGTGATAAGGGGTTAGAACCTATTTCAGGCTTTTTATTGCTGTCTGTCTCGTAGCCTCCCTGGCGGTATTCCCGAGTGTAGCTCGGGGTAAAGTTTCAGTACCACAAGCGGTAACCCCGAGCTACACTCGGGCTTACCATGCGGCGCTGCTCCGGGATCTGTTCTTCACTTACCTTGTCCTGCGCTCTCGCGATGTCCCTCCTGCAGTGTCCCCAGCAATGTCCTCCGGTGGATGCCGGCATCTGTCATCTGGGTTCCGTCCCCTGCAAGCGTTGGGACGTACGGGGGACGGAACGGCGGGAAATTTGAAAATGACAAAAAGTGACATTCACTTAATACACTAAAATCACATAGTATAACATTCCTGTATCAAACCATTTCACATACATTTTGTCCCGAGTACTTTGTCCGGCGCCCTGCCTGCATTTTTACTGTTCTTTCTGCCTGGAAACTGAGAAACGTCCATGGCGTCCAAAAAGCGTCGCTTTAGGTCAAAAGCAGTTTTAGACCAGCTAGAGAACAGCGATAGTAAATCAGAACCACTTGCAGAATTGAGTGATAATGATTCGTGGGGGAAATTCGTCATCAGACGCTGAAAACGATTTTGCGACTTTGCTCAGTGATGTGCGAACTTGGCGCTCTATCAAATTTCAGTGTTTTTGGTTTGATTATGTTATTGAATTAAATTTATTATTATATTATTATTTTTTATGATTATTTATTAAATTATAATTTATGATTTAGTGTTTCAAATTGTAACATACCTGGGATGTTTACTACACTCTTGTTCCGACAGATTTCAGTGAGTTATTCCTAAGAATTACAGGCCTACAAAAAAAAAATACATATTTCCATGCAAAAAAATGTACCACTTTGAGCACAGAAATATGACATAATCAGACCGCTAGGGAGGTTAGTTGTGATGATCACTATTGTCACCAGGAAAAAAAGGGAGAATGAATCAGCAGTTCTAAGTTGCCACCAGAAAGGGAATAGAGGGAAAATCTCTAAATGAGGATACTTGTTCCTGTGATAACTGTCTGAGCCCTGGTTCACACTGCTGCAACGGAAAAGCAGGTTAAGTCAAAACACATTCGTTTCAATGGATGTCTTCTTAATTCAGACCCAGAATTCTTTATTATTCCCAAAAGGACTGCGACTCAAGTTGCAGCAACCAAAAACAATTCCTGCATTTTCTTTGTGGCATGAGACTGTAATATTAAAATGACAAAAGTCGCAAGGAAGTAGTTTCTTTGTTTTATTATTTTTGTGACTTTGGCTGCAACTTCAGAGGGTTTTCTAAGTTCATATGTGTCACACTCTGTATGTTCGGTTATAGGTGTCACACTTTGTATGTTCGGTTATAGGTGTCACACTCTGTATGTTTGTTTATAGGTGTCACACTCTGTATGTTCGTTTATAGGTGTCAAACTCTGTATGTTTGTTTATAGGTGTCACACTCTGTATGTTCAGTTATATGTGTCCCATTCTGTATGTTCAGTTATAGGTGTCACACTCTGTATGTTCGGTTATAGGTGTCACACTCTGTATGTTCGGTTATAGGTGTCACACTCTGTATGTTCAGTTATAGGTGTCACGCTCGGTATGTTCAGTTATATGTGTCACGCTCTGTATGTTCAGTTATATGTGTCACACTCTGATGGTCAAAGCCAAAGTCGCAAAACATCAAAGTCGCATGAAAGGCACATTCAATTTCATCAAGTCGCAATGCAAAGTTGCACTGGAAGTCGCACAGCTTTGGGCTCCTAGCAATGTAAACGGAGCCTAAAAAAGGTATTTTCCTCACATTGGAAATATATCCACAAACTTCCTTTTTAATCTACAGGACAGGAAGTGAAGGGCAAACACCCTAATGAGGCACAGATGGAAAATTAAAAAGCTGACTGCATTTGTGATCCTGCTCTACTCTAACCAAAATGTAGAAAAAAGTATATTTGGCTTTAAATATACTTTAAAAATAAGTGTCGCACAAATGCAACACAAACCCTACCAATATCTTGTGTAGAAGGAGGGTTTTTCCACTGTGCCCTCTTCTGTCTGCAAAAAAATCTATTTCAGCTGATGTTCTGTCTGAAATTTCAGACAACTGCAGAAAGATGCTCACCAACAAAGTTGACTATGTTATCTGAAAATGGTGTGACCACCTTCTCTCTTCCCTCCTTTTCCCTTTGCACCCCGATGCTTAAGTTGGACTTGTTATACACTCCCACTGTACAACAAAAATTTAATATAACACCAAAACAAAGTGAAACCAACGCATAATAATTGTTTCACAAATCGGACTGTACAGGTACAAATTTGGGCAAGCAATTTTTTTTTTTTAAATCATACATTTTTATTTGTGTTCTCTAAAAACATAAACAATTATAAAAAATGGTCATAGGTAAACAAAACCTAACAAAGGGATCGAACCCTTGTCATATACATATGCCTATAGTGCTATCACAATCACGTATGTAAAACAGCTCAACATGGATTCCTTCCCGTGCACTGCATCAACGCGCTTCGCTGAGAACTACCGTTCCCTCAGGACAAGGCGGTGATCGGGTGGTACGACATATTTGTGAAGCAACTATTATAAGTTGTTATAAACCAGCCAAAATTCTGCTGGAAACCTCCCGCCAACATCCTTCGGCTGTAAAATTGATGGAGCTAGGCACAAAATTGTTGGCCAATTGTTGGCCAATTGTTCGCCAAAGAGTGTCTGCATTCAATGAGGCATCATTTGAACCCCGTGTGTATTGAATTGTATTGTTATTGTACTGTCTCGTGTACTGTCTCCCATTGTAATGTACAGCGCTGAGCAAACTGTTGGCGCTATATAAATCTTGTATAATAATAATAATAATTTGGGTATTTTGACAGCCGACACCTAAGGCAGTCCTCAACATTAGCTCCAGCGGGGAACCATCTACCCACACTGGTTAGGATGGATGGAGTTATCTATTATATTTTTTTTTCTGCAGCCTGCAGGCTGAACGAAAAAAATCTATGTGTGTATGGCCAGATTTAAGCTTTAAGTTAGACAAACATCAGTAAAATTTAATTTGAGAATTTTCATTTTCAGAACATTTATTACATTTTCTAATGGACAGTGGGGTCAAATCAACAATTGCTTTTGGCCAAACTGATGAGAGAGTTTGAAGGAACAGGATAGGAAATTCCTCTTGAAAGAATTAAATTCTGTTAACATGGTTTTCAGATGGGAAAAATTATACATATTGTAATGCGTAAAGAAACCTGTTTAATACGTCTGTGATTCCATTCAAGTACCAGGCCTGGACAACATTTTTTAAAGGTTTTCTCACAAAATTAGTTGACTCAGTGACAAATATGGAATGCTCTGATGATCAAGTTTTCAGATTTTTCCATACAAACATTTGATTGAAACTCTATTGGTATATGGCCAGCTTTACTCTTGCACTGTTTGTTTTAGTTATTTCTCATGCACACCCCTAACAGTTACTGAAACAATGCATTGTGCTGCTTTGTGCCATAATGGAACCTGACCAAGCTGAGCCAGCATAATGCAATGTCACACCACTCCTGTAAAATCTTAACAAACCATAATAATCTTATTTTTAAAAAATCATTAAAAACATTTCTACTTGCACCTTCTGTTTTTCACCTGCAGAAGATGTGCATTGACCATGTAGTTTCATAGGGGTTTATTTACTAAAGCTGGAGAGTCCAAAATCAGACTCCCTTCTGCATAGAAACCAATCAGCTTCTAACCTCAGCTTGTTCAATGAAGCTTTGGCAATGAAACCTGGAAGCTGATTGGTTTCTATGCAGAAGTGAGTCTGATTTTGGACTCTCCAGCTTTAGTAAATAAACCCCATAGTGTCATTTGTTGCCCTGTACAACCAGCCTATAATTGAGTAAATCTTCACCTTCCTGTGTCAGCAGCTTCAGTTTGTATTAAAATAGGAGTCATGCGGCATGGCACTGCACAATCTAATACATGACCTCTGTCTGTAGTCTAAGAACTGACACTTCCTGTGATGAAACATATCCCACAATCTCTGGGCCTCTCAGTCTAGTGTTCATGCAGGTAAATGCCACACAGTAATTAGATCTGACACAGCCATAAGCAGGCAGAGCATTCACAGGCTGTGATAGCAGAGGGATTGGGGAGGCATGCATTGGAAACTGCCCTGTCCCTTTGGTGCATAAGGACCAGCTAGGTGAAGCGATACATGGGCATAGGGAAATCGATCAGCCATGACACTACAAACTGCAGCCATAGCACATGAGCTTATCATTACAAAGTAAGGCAAACAAAGTAGTTAAAACAACAAAAACATTTGAAAGCGTACAATGCCTTTGAACTTTTAGGTGAGGAATTATCAAAAATTTAATTTAAAAGAGGAAAATTACTGTAAAGATTTTATTTGCACATTACACCCACTAATCCCTTCATTTAAACTTAAAAAAAACCCTTGTTACAATTATAACAGAAAGGTTGCAGTTTTAGAGTAACCACTATAGCAACCATGGGTAGCATAGTGGCTTAGTGGTTAGTATTTCTGCCTTGCAGCACTGGGATCCTCAGTATAAATTACAACCAGGACTCTACCTGCATGGAGTTTGCATGTTCTCCCTATGCCTGTGTGGATTTCCTCCCACACTACAAAGACATGCTGGTAGGTTAATTAGCTCCTCTCTAAATTGGGCCTAGTATGTATGCATATGAAATAGGGACTTTAGATTGTAAACTCCTAAAGGGCAGGGAATAGGAATGTGCAATCTGTACAGCACTGCATAATTTGTCAGCACTATAATTTATTTCTTTTTTACAGGTACTTATAGAATGCCACCAATTTACGCAGTGCTTTACATATATTTTGTACATTTACATGAGTCCCCGCCCTCAAAGAGCATACAATCAAAGGTCCCTAGCTCACATTCACACATACACATACTAGGGGCAATTTTAGAAAAGAGGCAATTAAACTACTAGAATGTCTTTGGACTGTTGGAGGAAACCCACACAGGCACACGAAGAACATGCAAACCCAGACAGGTGGTGCCATGGTTGGATTTTGAATTGACTACCTTAGTGCTGGCCCAATAAATAAACCTGGGCAATGTAGACAAAATGGGAACATTACAGTATTTGAAATATCTCCTTTTTATGGAGCCATTCTATAAATTTTAAAATACATTTCTGAGTTTTAAAGTAAGAATTCTGAGATTCAAGTTCAGAATTTTGAATTTAATAGTCAGAATTTTGAGATTCAGTGTCAGAATTATGAGTTTCAAAATCAGAATGTTGAGATTATCTCAGCATTCTGTTTTTGAAACTCAGGATTTTGTTTAATATATTTTAGGATAGCCCCAAGTTTTAATCTAGGAATTCTGACTTTCAAACTGAGAATTCTGACTTTTAATCTCAGAATTTTGACTTTGAAACTCAGAATTGACTTTAAAAAATTTTTAGGATAGCCCAGAGCTCTTTCATACTTTTTACGCCCAGTTTCAGATCTAATGTATTTTAAGTAAATAAACAATGTTGTGGGTTGAATGTTTTTCAGAAGCCCTTCCGGAAAATAAGTAAGTGGTGGTGAGATTGGATGCTAAATAAAAATGTATTGTAAATCTGATATGTGCATATGGCGAGATGACCTATGACCTCTATAGAATCTAAATCTTTCCTTTTATATATTGTTCATTTTTCCTTCTCTTTGTGAGTCACAGAAATGACTTTATTTTAACTAACAGCCTTCTAAGCTAGAAAAAGTTCAAGTTTTAGTAATGGGAAAACTGTACTTTAGAGGAAGAAAAGTTTTAGGAAAAGATAAAAGACTGATAGAGTGAAGATGAAAATCATTTTGAGGAAAACCAGGCACACTCAACATTCCTATAGCTTAATTTATAAAGGTTCGGGGGCTGGAAACGGCCCTAGCTATTACAAAATGATCCCTTGCAGATCTCAACATTCAAAATCACCAGAAAGAAGGAATTTCAAGTTTAGAAAATTTCCCAAGATTTGAGTTGCACAATATAAAGTTGTCTACAGCTATCTGCTGATGATGACTGCATAATGCCCACAAGAGACAACATTTCACATGATTAGAATTCCTGCCTAAAGAAAAGCCAACACAAAGCTGAACCCCAGACAGATATACAGTATCTCACAGAAGTGAGTCCACCCCTCACATTTTTGTAAATATATTATATCTTTTCATGTGACAACACTGAAGAAATGACACTTTGCTACAATGTGACGTAGTCAGTGTACAGCTTCTATAACATGTAAATTTGCTGTCCCCTCAAAATAACTCAACACACAGCCATTAATGTCTAAACCGCTGACAACAAAAGTGAGTCCACCCCTAAGGAAAATGTCAAAATTGGGCCCAAAGTGTATAAATATTTTGTGTGGCCGCCATTATTTTCCATCATTGCCTTAACCCTCTTGGGCATGGAGTTCACCAGAGCTTCACAGGTTGCCACTGGAGTCCTCTTCCACTCCTCCATGACGACATCACGGAGCTGGTGGATGTTAGAGACCTTGCACTCCTCCACCTTACATTTGAGGATGCCCCACAGATGCTCAATAGGGTTTAGGTCTGGAGACATGCTTAGCCAGTCCATCACCTTTACCCTGAGCTTCTTTAACAAGGAAGTGGTCGTCTTGGAGGTATGTTTGGGGTAATTATCCTGTTAGAATACTAAAATACCAGTATATATACTGCCATTTGTAAACACTATAACTTTTATGTAAACCAATTATTTTACACGTATTGGGATTTTTTTTTTAACAAAGACATGTAGCAGAATACATTTGGCCAAAATGTATGACGAAATTTGATTTTTTAAAATTTTTACTGCACGTTTAATAGCAAAAAGTAAAATAATATTGTTTTTTTTTCTCAAAATTGTTGGTCTTTTTTTTTTTGTGCAAAAAATAAAAAAAAACGCATAAGTAATCAAATACCACCGAAACAAAGCTGAATATGTGGGGGAAAAAAAGGACGTGTAGGACGTGCAGTGTTGCATGACCGCGCAATTGTCAGTTAAAGTAACATAGTGCCGTAATGCAATAAATGGCCTGGTCAGGAAGGGGGGATGAATCATCAGAAGCGCAAGTGGTAAATAAAGAAAACCCCTTCCCATTTCATGCAGTCAGCAATGGCACCACAGAGAAGAGAAATGTCACAAGGCTCGAGAAAGAAAATAATTTCTTTACACAAGAAAGGTGAAGGCTACAAGAAGATCAGCAAAGCTTTACTTATCAGTCAGAATACTGTAGCAAAAGTGATACAAAAATTTAACAAATATGGAACTGCAATCATCCAACCACGTCCAAGGCATCCAAGGGAGTTAACACCTCAACAGGAGCGTCTTCTGATGAGAAGGGTTGAAGGAAAATCGCCATGCAAGTTCACTGCAGTTAGCCCAAACTGGGGTGATTGTATCCCGTGACACAATATGGCATACACTGCTGACGAATGGCATGCATGGGCGTAGTTCACGAAGGAAGCCTCTCCTTAAGCTCATGCACAAAAAAAGCCCACCTAGAATTTGAAAGGGTCCATGCTGAAAAAGAATAAGACTGCTGGGACTCTGCATTCTGAAATAATGAGACCAAAATAAATGTTTTTGGAACTGATGGCTTCAAAACTGTATGGCGTCGCAAAGGTGAGGACTGCAAAGAAAATGCATGGTGCCTACAGCGTAACATGGTGGTGGCAGGGAACTTCTGTGGGGCTGCATGAGTGCTGCTGGTGTCGGGGAGTTGCATTTCATTGATGGTATACTGAATTCACAGATGTACTGCTCTATATTGAAAGAGAAGATGGTACCATGACTCCGTGCCATTGGTCGACGTGCACTTTTCCAATATGGCAATGATCCAAAACACACACATCTAAGGCCACTGTTGCATTTCCATTTCGAAGTATGGAAAAAGATAGATGTTGCAATTTGTCACCAACTTATTCATTCTATGCCTAGAAGACTTGGTGCTGTCCTTGCAAATCATGGAGGTCAAACAAAATACTACATGTAGTAATTTTTGTTGTGGGGTATATTCATTTTTGCATCAACTAATTTGAGTAAAACTGAAGATTTTGTAATCTAAGTTATAATATTAACCTTACTTTCATGTAATGAGCTAAACAAATGTTCTATAAAACTCAGTTTTGCCAAAACCTTTGAAATTGTTCTTTGAGATATTGATTACATTTTTACTGGTCAAAAGGAGTGTACTCATTTATGCTGAGCAAGTAGACCAAGAAAGATTGCACCAGATGCTTCTGCATATTAATCTACTAGTGGCAAGGCTGCTACATGCACCGAGGGTAAGTTATGGATCATGAAATAAACTGTGAGGGATTTTGGTTCTAGCCTGGGTCTCCACCTGCAACACCCTCCCCAAATGAGGCGATAGGTTCTCTGCTTCAATGAGACACCCTGCTGAGTTCCTAGAAAGGCTGTTATGCTTGGAGCAGAGAGTTAAGTTAAGTTGAAGTTGAAGAATTCTCCCTTTTAATATCGGAACCAACTTTGGGAGAACGGTACCCTTTGCTCTGAAACTTGAACGCTGCTTAAACCAAGGCTGACGGCAAGTACTTTACCTCTCTAAACTTCTTTCTGTTATCTCTTTGCTGTGTTATTGGTCTCTGTATTTACAGTCAGGTCCATAAATATTGGGACATGGACACAATTCTAACATTTTTGGCTCTATACACCACCACAATGGATTTGAAATGAAACAAACAAGATGTGCTTTAACTGCAGACTGTCAGCTTTAATTTGAGGGTATTTACATCCAAATCAGGTGAACGGTGTAGGAATTACAACAGTTTGCATATGTGCCTCCCACTGTTAAGGGACCAAAAGTAATGGGACGGAATAATAATCATAAATCAAACTTTCACTTTTTAATACTTGGTTGCAAATCCTTTGCAGTCAATTACAGCCTGAAGTCTGGAACGCATAGACATCACCAGACGCTGGGTTTCATCCCTGGTGATGCTCTGCCAGGCCTCTACTGCAACTGTCTTCAGTTCCTGCTTGTTCTTGGGGCATTTTCCCTTCAGTTTTGTCTTCAGCAAGTGAAATGCATGCTCAATCGGATTCAGGTCAGGTGATTGACTTGGCCATTGCATAGCATTCCACTTCTTTCCCTTAAAAAACTCTTTGGTTGCTTTTGCAGTTTGCTTTGGGTCATATTCCATCTGCACTGTGAAGCGGCTTCCAATGAGTTCTGAAGCATTTGGTTAAATATGAGCAGATAATATTGCCCGAAACACTTCAGAATTCATCCTGCTGCTTTTGTCAGCAGTCACAACATCAATAAATACAAGAGAACCAGTTCCATTGGCAGCCATACATGCTCACGCCATGACACTACCACCACCACCATGCTTCACTGATGAGGTGGTATGCTTAGGATCATGAGCAGTTCCTTTCCTTCTCCATACTCTTCTCTTCCCATCACTCTGGTACAAGTTGATGTCTTGGTCTCATCTGTCCAGAGGATGTTGTTCCAGAACTGTGAAGGCTTTTTTAGATGTCGTTTGGCAAACTCTAATCTGGCCTTCCTGTTTTTGAGCCTCACCAATGGTTTACATCTTGTGGTGATCCCTCTGTATTCACTCTGGTGAAGTCTTCTCTTGATTGTTGACTTTGACACACATACACCTACCTCCTGGAGAGTGTTCTCGATCTGGCCAACTGTTGTGAAGGGTGTTTTCTTCACCAGGGAAAGAATACTTCGGTCATCCACCACAGTTGTTTTCCGTGGTCTTCCGGGTCTTTTGGTGTTGCTGAGCTCACCGGTACGTTCCTTCTTTTTAAGAATGTTCCAAACAGTTGTTTTGGCCACGCCTAATGTTTTTGCGATTTCTCTGATGGGTTTGTTTTGTTTTTTCAGCCTAATGATGGCTTGCGTCACTGATAGTGAGAGCTCTTTGGATCTCATCTTGAGAGTTGACAGCAACTCCAAATGCAAATAGCACACTTGAAATTAACTCTGGACCTTTTATCTGCTCATTGTAATTGGGATAATGAGGGAATAACACACACCTAGCCATGGAACAGCTGAGAAGCCAATTGTCCCATTACTTTTGGTCCCTTAACAAATGGGAGGCACATATGCAAACTGTTGTAATGCCTACACCGTTCACCTGATTTGGATGTAAATACCCTCAAATTAAAGCTGACAGTCTGCAGTTAAAGCACATCTTGTTCGTTTCATTTCAAATCCACTGTGGTGGTGTATAGAGCCAAAAATGTTAGAATTGTGTCCATGTCCCAATATTTATGGACCTGACTGTATATATATATATATTGGCTACATCTTTTTCTGTAAATATTGTTATTGCATCCTTTTGACCTTATTAGTAATAAATCCTATTTATCTGAAAAGTGTTGAACTGTTTCTAAAGCTCTTTAATGCAAACTAAGCATCCCTGTCTCTGAAGAGTGTGTGTTTTAAAACGTCTACATACATCTGTCTGCAGTGACATTGTGTATACAAACGATTATTCAAACATCATAGTGTTATTGCTAATATTGCCGAGTTTTCCTCTTTCTCTGTACAAAAAGGAGGTGGTGGCAGTGTGAAGGGTTAATTGCGTAATTAACCTGACCCAGTAACAATCGCTCCCAGGCTGCAGGTACACAGATTGTGGTCCATTAGCTGGAAAATCTTTGTGCAGGGTGCAGCTGGGCGTGGCATTGTTACACATGTGACAACGTGGTTTTAGATTGGCTAGTCCTTCGGTCACGAATTTGGTGAGAAGGGCTGGGGTCTGACGCTGCGATCGTCACAGTAAGTGTCCTTTTATTCAAAGTCAGCAGTACAGTATTTGTAACTGCTGACTTTTACTACTTTCTTAAATGATTTAGGAACCTATTTAAGGATAATTAAAGGAGGAAAAAATTCTAATAAGACATTGCAGCAGGTCAATGAAAATGATACAATAAACAAGCTGGAGGCTACAGATGAAGCAGAGGAGCTGTTGGCACTAAATGGTGGGGTGCATTAATCACAAATATTTAAATTTGCCTATTTCTATTTAGTTGACGTTTTGGTAGAGATGTAACAGATACCTGCAACAATGTGCAAATTATTCCACCCAACTTGTTTTTTGTCCATTGACGTGCATCTGGCTTGGATCCAGGAACTTACCACTGGATGTGGCTGCCTGAATTCAACATTATTCTGTCCACTGCTGAAATATGTAATCATTATCGGGCAATCTGCATTTTGCTAATGTTCACACTTAGCCGGCTTCTGATATCTTCTAATGCTGCTGAAATCAATGCTCAGTCATAGGTTCATGTTACACAAAAGGGATCAACCATAGTCAGGCAAAGGTTAGAGTGTAAATCCGTCCATCTGCCTTGGCATGGCAGAAACCTGTTCCTCCGACAGCTGCCGTTAACTGCAGAATGCAAATGTACTAAAGCCAGCAAAGTGTCCGGTAATAGAGAGGGGGATTTGAATTAAATCCGCACACTTAGATCTTAAAACATCTGTGTTTTTTTTCTAGGTTACACTTTAATTTTCTAAACCAACATGATGAAAAGGAACGTATTAGAAGGAGTTGGGAAGGTGGACTTGCACTCTCTGTGTTCAGGCCAGATGTCTTCCAGTTGTTTCAAGCTGCCCAGGGCGGCTTTGTGAGTGGAAAGGAATTTTGGGCATGGAAAATTCTCTGGCATCGCACAAAGAACAACAGAAAATAGATACATTCTGTCTTAAAAACATGCATTAGGGCAAAAACAAAGAGGAAGGAAATGCAGCGTAGGGAGAATAAGTCAATCGTTTGGTTCCGCGCTCTGATATCGGATATTGGAACAAATCGTGAAATCTCCATTATTAATAGTTGGGTCCCATAGCACAGAATATATGTTCAGAAAGGGAACTGGAAAGAATCACTGCATGCAATACAAACTTTTATGTGCCAATAAGTGTATCCATGCACATTCTACTAATGAAGAGTCCCCAGAAGGACGTACATTGGCTCCAGTACACGCCAGCACTGAGATTATGTAATTTCAGATGTAGTGTGCTGGCGCCATAATGCTATGTTCATGATCGTGTAATCACTCAATGGGCGTAGGAGTCTTCATACATTATTTTGTTTTGTTCATTAGAAGGCTCCTGAGAACCCCTAATTATAGTGGATTGCTTGAAGTGTCCAAGAGGACTGTGCAGAAGCTTGGAACCATCCAAATGCGGAGTACTGCAATAGGAGCTTGAGTTGGATCAAATATTAGCTTCCATTTAAATTTTACCTCAGGTCTGTAATTGATTTGTGAAAATGTCTTGTGGATTTTGGACATGCAAAAAAAGTATGTTGCTTACGTCTTAGTAATACTCCTTGAAAGGTTATGACTGGACAAAACTTTAAAGTGATACTAAACACACACTGTTTATTTACATTATCCCTTCTCTTTCTGTATGTAGATGGTGGCACTGTAATTCTTTTAATAAAAAAACATCTAAGTACCCTTTTTCCTAATGGATATACGTCTCTCACATGACATAGCTCTTTCCTAGCTTGTCTACAGGAAAACAGTGGCAGGAGGAGCTTCTAGTCCTCTGCTACTGGTAACATGACCAAAATTTTTAAAAAAGACAGCATTTGGTATACAGTTTGAAAATAAATCATTATTATCAATTAACTGATTTAAATTGTCATACAAATATATATTTGAAATCAAATCAAGTATTTCTGACAGTAACAGGCTGTGTCACATCCCTCCAGCCTGTCGCTTAGAATAACAGGGAAGTGAATCCTCCATCAATCAAGATGTAATATTCCGCCCACATTGTGTTTAGCTGGTTAGTGGGCATGGGAGAAGCCCATGTGACTATAGAGGAGAAGAATGTCACCAGCACACAGAGGATCTCCAGTATTGGGTCCAAAGCTT